ATTATAAAAACAGCAAGGTAACTAATGATAAAAGTGAGCGCAAACGGTATTGCAATTATAGGAAACAAGGCCTAGGGTTCATACTTTCGCTAGTGCAAGTCCTCTCAACAATAATAACATAATTGGATCACATAACTATCCCTCAACATGCAACAAAGAGTCACTCCAAAGTCACTAATAGCAGAGAGCGAACGAAGAGATTATGGTAGGGTACGAAACCACCTCAAAGTTATTCTTTCCAATCAATCTGTTGGGCTATTCCTATAAGTGTCACAAACAGCCCTAGAGTTCGTACTAGAATAACACCTTAAGACACAAATCAACCAAAACCCTAATGTCACCTAGATACTCCAATGTTACCTCAAGTATCCATGGGTATGATTATACGATATGCATCACACAATCTCAGATTCAACTATTCAACCAACACATAGAACCTCAAAGAGTGCCCCAAAGTTTCTACGGAGAATCACGACGAAAACGTGTGCCAACCCCTATGCATAGGTTCATGGGCGGAACCCGCAAGTTGATCACCAAAACATACATCAAGTGAATCACGTGGTATCCCATTGTCAGCACAGATACGCACGGCAAGACATACATCAAGTGTTCTCAAATCTATAAAGACTCAATCCGATAAGAATACTTCAAAGGGGAAACTCAATTCATTACAAGAGAGTAGAGGGGGGAGAAAATATCATAGGATCCAAATATAATAGCAAAGCTCGCGATACATCAAGATCGTATCACCTCAAGAACACGAGAGAGAGAGAGAGATCAAACACATAGCTACTGGTACATACCCTCAACCCCGAGGGAGAACTACTCCCTCCTCGTCATGGAGAGCACCGGGATGATGAAGATGGCCACCGGAGAGGGATTGCCCCCTCCGGCAGGGTGCCGGAACGGCTCTAGATTGGCTTTTGGTGGCTACGGAGGCTTCTGGCGGCGGAACTCCCGATCTATCGTCTGTTGTGGCAGTTTTAGGATACGTAGGTATATATGGGTGAAAGAAGTACGCCGGTGGAGCTTTGGGGGCCCCACGAGGCAGGGGGCACCCTAGGGGGCGCCCCCACCCCCGTGAGCACCTCCCTTGGCTCCTAACGTGGGGTCCAAGTCCATCCGGTAGATTTGCTTCCAAAAATAACTTCTCCAGTTGATTTCGTTCCGTTTCGACTCCGTTTGATATTCCTTTTCTTCGAAACACTGAAATAGGCAAAAAACAGCAAATCTGGGCTGGGCCTCCGGTTAATAGGTTAGTCCCAAAAATAATATAAAAGTGGATAATAAAGCCCAATATTGCCCAAAACAGTAGATAACATAGCATGGAGCAATCAAAAATTATAGATACATTGGAGACGTATCAGTTGTTGGGCTAGGCCCAGAATGGTGTGCGGGTAGGCGGGGTGGATTTTTACTGCTGTAACTTTTTCGCCCGCTGCGCTTCCCCATGACCCGCGTTAAACGTGCGACATGGAGGTTCATGCATGATGTGGGGGTCATGCGTGGGGCGGTTCCTGCATGCATGCGTCACATCATGGTAAAGAGGAGGCTCGTGCCTTCCCCATAAAAAGAGGAAAACGCAGAGGCGCGACTCATTTACTGAGTGGACTCGGGTCATGGACTTCAAGGCGCCCGCGCCCCACGATCACGGGGCGGGGAACGGTCGCCCCACTCATCCCCTCGACTTCCGCTCGCTCGCCACGTGTCCCCCATGTTCTGAAGATGGTAGGCGGAGGGTGCGTTCCTTGAATGACGAGGCGGGGAAACGGGCCGCTGCTGATTGGAGCAGCGGGTCAGCCTCGATTCTCTATGCCCCTGATGATCGGATTGGCTGAGTGGGGTGGCCGAGCCCTGACCCCGCCCCTTTATAAGAAGGGGGAGGGGGATGGCACCCCACAATCTTTCATCATCCCTTTCCTTCCACCTCGGCTCCGCTCTTTCATCTACCATGGCAAGAGGGGGCGCCGACCCTTCAACGGTGGCGGCAAGGGTCTCTGCTCGATAGCGTGTCCCTCCTTCCCAAGAGCCCGCGGTGGCGGAACCGGCCATGAGAGGAAGGGGGAGGGGGCGAGGTCGAGACCGGCGTGGTGCTCGGGGAAGAGGGGTGTAACACCCACAATGCGGCTATATCTCCCACATGTCGGGGCACGACTTAGAGGCATACCCGCATGGTAGGTTTGTCACAAGAGGGGTAATCTTCACACAATCCCATGTACTGAATAGAAAGGGATAAAGAGTTGGCTTACAATCGCCACTTCACACAAATACAAGTTAAACATACATAATCCAGAATACAATCAAGGTCCGACTATGGAACCAAAATAAAAGAAGACAAGCCCAAATGCTAGATCCCCGATCGTCCCAACTGGGCTCCACTACTGATCAACAGAACATGAAACAAGACAACGATCAAGATCTTCATCAAGCTCCCACTTGAGTTCGGCTGCGTCACCTGCACTAGTATCATCGGCACCTGCAACTGTTTGGAAGTATCCGTGAGTCACGAGGACTCAGCAATCTCACACCCGCGAGATCAAGACTATTTAAGCTTATGGGATAGGATAGGGTAATGAGGTGGAGCTGCAGCAAGCACTAAGGGCCTCTTTGATTCTCAGGATTCTCAAAACGCAGGAATAGGAAAAATGTAGGAATACAGTGTCATGTCCTCTTGTATCCTATGGGATTTGGAGAAGTGTTTGATAGCACAAGAAAAGCAAAGGAATTCTACAAAGAAGTTTGAGTGGATGAAAAGTTTCCTCCAAAATGTAGTATAAATGAATCCTATGGAAAAAATCCTAAGGATTTCAATCCTACAAATCAAACGACCATCACAGGAAAAAAATCCGAAGGATCCAAATCCTGTAAAAATCCTATGCATTTCCTTTGTATCAAAGGAGCCCTAAGCATATATGGTGGCTAACATACGCAAAATAAGAATGAGAAGAGAAGCAAAGCATGGTCGTGAACTAGAAGCGATCCTGAAACTACTTACACACAAACATAACTCCAAAACTGTGTTCACTTCCCAGACTCCACCGGAAAGAGACCATCACGGCTACACATGCGGTTGATTCATTTTAATTAAGTTAAGTGTCAAGTTCTCTACAACCGGATATTAACAAATTCCCATCCACCCATAACCGCGGGCACGACTTTCGAAAGTTCAAACCCTGCAGGGGTGTCCCAACTTAGCCCATCACAAGCTCTCACGGTCAACGAAGGATATTCCTTCTCCCGGGAAGACCCGATCAGTCTCGGAATCCCGGTTACAAGACATTTCGACAATGGTAAAACAAGACCAGCAAAGCCGCCCGGATGTGCCGACAAATCCCGATAGGAGCTGCACATATTTCGTTCTCAGGGCACACCGGATGAGCCAGACGTTGGGTTGGCATAGACCATGGTTGCCCAGGGGGCACCGGACATCGCTCGGGTTGGACCAACACTTAGAGAAGCACTGGCCCGGGGAGTTAAAATAAAGATGACCCTCGGGCTCCGGAAACCTGAGGGAAAAAGGCTAGGTGAGGCAAATGTAAAACCAAGGTTGGGCCTTGCTGGAGGATTTTTATTCAAAGTGAATTGTCAAGGGATCCCCATAACACCCAACCGTGTAAGGAACGCAAAATCAAGGAACATAACACCGGTATGACGGAAACTAGGGTGGCAAGAGTGGAACAAAACACCAGGCATAAGGCCGAGCCTTCCACCCTTTACCAAGTATATAGATGCATTAATTAAATAAGAGATATTGTGATATCCCAACATATCCATGTTCCAACATGGAACAAACTTCAGCTTCACCTGCAACTAGCAACGCTATAAGAGGGGCTGAGCAAAGCGGTAACATAGCCAAACAACGGTTTGCTAGGAAAGGAGGGTTAGAGGCTTGACATGGCAATATGGGAGGCATGATATAGCAAGTGGTAGGTAACGCGGCATAGCAATAGAGCGAGCAACTGGCAAGCAAAGATAGAAGTGATTTTGAGGGTATTGTCATCTTGCCTGAGATCCCGCAAGGAAGAAGAACGAGTCCATGAAGAAGACAAACAGACATAGTCGAACGGATCCTCACAACTCCGGAACGAAACCGAAGCTAACGAGAGAAGCAACCTGGAAAGAAGCAAGCAACATAGTAAACAACCATCACATAAACATGGCATGATGCATAACCAAGTATGATGCATGTCCGGTTTAAAGAGGCATGGCATGGCAAAATGCACAGACAACACTACAAGTTAAGTGGAGCTCAATATGCATCGGGATGCATATTGACAAAACACCACATTCCATTATTTAGTTCACTTCCGATTATGTACCCAACAATTTTAAATGTTGTTAAACATTGCAAGAGGTGAAACATGAGTAAAATACACAGTTAGGCATTTTAAATGAGGCCGGAAACATCAAACACCAATTCCGGTAAATCCTCATGTGTGTTTAGCAATATAATGCAAACATCAATTTTAACCATTTAAGTGTTGTTATCATGATGTGAATGACATTTTGCAAGTTTTATGCAGTATTTATGAAAATGTTGGCATTTTATAAGATATGGGGCATTTTGTCACCGTGGTTGAAAGAAAGGGTGCCACGGTGATGAATCAGAAAATGATGCCACGACACCATATCAGTTCTGGAAGCTCACGGAGATACCAGTGCAAAAGGAAGTGGGTGTGAGTGTGTCATGCAAGATTGATGGGGTGCTCCCGGAAACCGGGTTCCCACATGACAGTGGCAAGGAAACTAGGAACGTGCAAGGATCAATTCGGACATGGAGCAAACACAGGCATCTCATACAACAGATCACAAGCATTCGTTCTCGGACGGTCGTCTCGGGGTTATACCTTTGAAGCGTGCGTTTATGGACTATTCAGGTTCGATGTAATTGGAAGTAGTGGTTCCTGGTTCGGAGGGGAACTTGACGAATCCGAGTCCTTCGGGGTTCGACGGTAGTGGTTCACGTTCTTAGTCGCACAAGTTTCCGTAGCTGTTCTGGGTCACGCGAGGAACTTGATGTCCACGGAGTCTTCACCGATGGTCATGGTACATGCTCTATAGATGTTCGGGCGGCGGTAGTGGTACATGTTTTGAAGGGGAAGTAGAGGTTCAAGTTTCGTAGTCCTTCGGGGTCGCCGATAGTTGTACACAGTCGTTGTTGGACTTGACTTATCCGAAGTCGGCGGTAGTCGTACATGTTCGAAGATGGACTTGGTGTTTCGGTATGTAGTTGTTCGAGCGTTCGTGTGGTCTTGCCGGTGGGGTACTTGCCGCTTGTGGTCCAAATCTGAGGTCATAGCCGCGTAGCCGAATTTGACGAAAAACAGGTCTCGCTGAGGACTTGGCGCATTCATCAGGACTTGGTGGCACTTGACTCGGGCAGGGGTAGCGCTGGAGATGACGAGCTCCTGTGAGTAGGGGAAGTCAACGCGGGGCTGCAGCAAGACGACAAGGAGGTGGGAAGGCACGCTGGCCGAACTGCGGCTTGGAGGGGCGGCGTCCATGGCCCGCGGAGGGAGCGCGTGGCACCATGCTTGCTCTGACCGTCGAGGCTGCCGGTGGTGAACGACGGAGGGGTGCGGAGGAGGCAAGGAGGCGCAGCAGCGGCCTGGGCTCGGGCAAGAGGCCGAGACGCCATAGAAGATGGCCGGACGACTCGAAGACGGAGCCTCGCTGGTGGCCGACCGATGGTGGGGGAGAAGGGGGCGCTCGGAGGAGGCTCGCATGAAGGGGCGGCGACCTGCAGGGTCCTGGTGCGAGCAGGAGGAGAAGAAGACGGCGCGACGCTCACTGGTTACGAGGAGGAAACAGGAGCGTAGGTGTGGTGCTCTGGTTGAGGGACTAGCGCGCAGGGGCGTTGAGTGAAGCAGGACGCTGCGGTGGGGCGACGAACGGGCGGCGCAAGGCGGTGGCTCGGCGGCCATGGAGGTGGGTCGGCACGGAGGAGGTCTTGCAGGCGTTCATGGCGGGGCAAGGCAGCGACGCGAGGTAGGAGAGGGCACAACGCGAGGAGGACGAGGGGGACCGAGCGGGATCAGGCGCGGGGTGGAGAAGAATGGGGATCGAGTCGAGGCTCTCCCTGGCGGCGCTGACGGGAGGAGGAGGATCGAACGAGCTAGGTTTAGAAGGGTAAGGTGGGCCTTAGGAGAGGGAGGCTGATGGGAGGTTGGGAGGCCCAGGGTTAGAAGGGGGGCGCCTGGGCCTTGGGCCACTGGATGCTGGGCCTCGGAAGTGGATGGGCCGAAGTAGTGGGCTGACACTCTTCTCTCTCCCTATAATTTTTCTTTAACAGAAAAATCAATAAGAGAGAAGAAAAGGAAAGAGAGGGTTAGGGAAAGAATTTGAGCAAGCGGATAATTTTCCTATGTCGGCGTTCTGTGAACGGGGGTCCCCAGACTTGCCTGCCTGCGGCCTGCGGCGTGGCTCAAGCGGGGGCCCAAAGCGACCCATCTTCATCAACTCAAGCTCAAGACCCTCGCGGGGCGGACGACAGGAAGCTTCCTCAGAGGCAGCCTCATCAGGCAGGCTCGCGAGGAGGCAGAGAGATCAATGCAAGGGTACCTCGCGAGGAACCCGTGACGCAAGCAATGACGATCGAGACCAGGCGGGCGCCGGCTTGCGCAGTGTCCTTGTTTCCCCTTTGATGCAAAGGGGGCAAGCACAGGCCAAGGCATCAGGCACAGGTTACCATTCCTGTGCAACGAGACCAAGACCAGCCGGACGGCAGGACGGAGGTCACCCTGGAGCCCAAGACGGCATCATCGCCAGTGCTTTTGGCAGCCGAAGACCACCTTTGGTCAGGATAACTTGTACTAGATGTTCCCCTTTGAAATGGCCAATTGTTGGCGCCCTTCCCGCTTAATTATTTGGGGAGAGGCCCAGGGCCTCTATAAATAGAGCTAGCCACCACAGAAGGAAGAGAGACCACGACGGCTGGAAATTTGTTAGAACCATTGCAGAGAGAGAGAGAGGCGACTGAACTCACCCTAGCAGTTCATCGCACCAGCTCAAGAACACCTCTCGCGAGGCTGTTCTTCCCTTGTACTGTCCATCATCAGCCCCTGAGGCAATCCATCACACCACACACTGGAGTAGGGTATTACACCACAACAGTAGCCCAAACCAGTATAAACCTCGTGTCTCTTGTGTTGTTCATCATTTTCATCTTAGTTCGCACGAGAGGATCGGACGTAGACTGGTAGGGGAGAGATCTCCACGCGCACCCCGGTGTTTGAACCTCAAGGGTCTGTTGGAACCCGAAACCCGACATTTGGCGCGCTAGGTAGGGTTGCGCCGGAATCTTCCTTCCGTCGCTGTTCCCCGTCGCCCGGCGCCAATGCCGCCACCGGCCCAGCGGGGAACGAGCAGCAGGCCTCGTCCCAGCACCCCTCGGTGCGGCGGGATGGCCGCACCGCCACCACGTCGCTGACTCCAGCTGGCTCATCGTCCCACGCCCGTCGCGCACCCATGGATGCGCACGCCTCACTGCTCTTGGTGCGGGAGCTCCTGCACTATCGCCCCATCGACGACCTCTACGAGGACTGGCTCACCCGCATCACCGAGCTTGTCAGAGCCGCAGGGGGCTCCCCCTTGCGGTCCCTATCGCTGCCTCGCCCTCCGTCCCATGCAGGGGGCGAGGATCAGGAGGAGCCTCCACCGCCTCCTCCCCAAGAAGGTGCCTTGGCTCCAAGGTGCGCAACCCCAGGGCGAGACCCTCCACGTCCGGCGCCTGCGCAGCAAGAAGGGAGCTGCCAAGAGATCCCACGTCCTCGGCAAGGTGCTCGCGCGCTCCCAGTGCCGGTGCACCAAGATCGCGCCCCAGCGCCTCCACGACAAATCCCCGCGCTGCTCCCAGTGGCGGCGCGTGGTGACCCACAAGAACGAGTCCAGCACCAGCAAAGGGCACCGGTGGCCACGGCGGGCTGCCTCGCCTTCACCCCCGAGCTGTGCGGCGTCACATGGCCAGGAAAGTTCAAGCCTGACCTCCCTCCCCGCTACGATGGCACAGCGGACCCCGCGGAGTTCCTGCAGCTCTATGAGCTGGGCATCGTAGCCGCCAACGGAGACGAGAAGGTCATGGCGAATTGGTTCCCCATGGCGCTCAAGGATGGCGCCGGCTCCTGAACCCTCAGGAGTTCATCGCAAGGAACACCCAAGAGCTACAAGAGTCCAGAGTCATGCACGGCAGCCGCTGCTTACCTGCCGTGGCCCCACATCTAGGTGAGAATGGAGGACTGCGCATCTGCGTCGACGTACCAGGGCTCAACTGAGCTGCGTCCCAGGAGCGCCTATGGCCTTCGGCCGTAGGGCGCTGCGTGGGACCACCCCACAGCTACGTTCGCATGCCCTTCGGCCTGCCGAGCACAGTCGCCGCACATCAGCGCCTGTTGAGGAGCATTCTGGAGGCTCAGGAGGTCAGGCACCGCGCGGTCCTGGCGGAGGTGTCGATGATCCCTGAAAACCTGCACATGCCACCAGAGCCTCCCGCGGCCCCTGGGCCTGGGGGCTCATGAGGGCCGACGTCTTCACCGCGCATCGCTCACTTCCTCAGCACCACTTCGTCTTCAACAGCACCAGGTGACATCTTTCAGAGTTCTACTTTCAGCTGGGAGCGCCCACAGGGCTGCACCATTCCCAGGCCGCGTGGGTCCGTCCCCGCGGCATGTATCCATTTTGGTTATGTTCTTTACTTACCCTGTCGGGGGCGCCCCTCGGGCTGCATCATCCCCACGCCGCTCGGGCCCGACCCAGCGGCGGTTGCTTTTACCTGCACTTCCTTGAAATTGGATTTCCTCCTATGTGCTTAACATCCCTGACCTAATCACCTGCTCGATCGACGCCTATTTGAAGAGCCGCTCGCTCTGGCACGACGCGTGCGCACGGGTCCATCCCTGCAGCATTGATAAACCTGAGTGGTCGAGCTCTGGCCGCGGCAGCCCCGCACGGCGCCAGCTCACCAGGCCCTCAGTGCCCTGACCGCTCCCTCGGAGTGACCATAGGTTGGCCAGCGACCGTAATGACAGGCCTTGTTTCTCCTCATGATTGGTGTGCAAGACCTACTCCAGGAGTAACGTTAGGGGCATCGTGAGCTCTCTCTCCCTCTATTCGGCACGGACCGCTTGCACGTTAAAAGGGGGGTACCTGAGCATTGCGACTCATGGGCTCTTACTGGCTCTCCAGCCTTCACCCCCTGGCCTTGACCCACGGCATCGCGACCTGTCATACCAGCGGCGGCTGAGCTCGCTCGAGGGCCGGGACCTGAGGACGTAGAGCGTTAAGGAAAGTGCGGGGGAGTGGGAAGAATCTCGCGAGGGCCTAACCCAGCAGTACCTCGACCACCGCCTCTCGGGCCAGGCGCCTCTCCGAGGAACTACGTCAGACACACAAGATAAGTCGCGTCATCACAAAAGCTAGACCAATGCAGTGCTAAATCCCCGCCCGGTGCAACTCTGTCACGGCGACGCTACCTTCCTTTCTCGCCCAGCAAGGATTGCTTGAGTGCTAAAGGGGACCTCCTGAGCATCGCGACTCGGGGGCTGTTACCGGACCTCGGGCCGCTCACCTCCTGGCCTTGACCACGGCATCGCGACCTGGCATACCAGCGATGGCTGAAGCTTGCCTGGGGACTGGGACCTGTCAGCGTAGAGCGCCAAGTCCTCGTGAGGATAGAAAGGGGGAGCTTAGCCGGAACAGAACGGACACCTCACGCTAATTCATATTAAGGATATAGTAATTACAAAAGCGCGGCAGACGCCTTACATACCCCTGCGAGGTGTTGCTTTAATTCCTTGCAGGGAACAAAAGGTGCTAACCCTAAGGAACGCTACTTGCTAGCACCTCCCCAAGCGACACCATCATCAATAGTGGGCCGCCCAGTGCCGGCGCCAACCACATCCAGATCAGTGGCATCGGCGGCCCAAGGCAGCTGCCTCACTCCGAGCGCGGCGCGAGCTCGGAGGCTCATAGCTGTCGTCGCTCGTCTCTGGGGTCGCGAGGAGTTCGGCAGAGCCGCCGAAGCCCGTAGTCCCTCCGCTGCTGCCTGAGGAGCTGTAGGAGGACCAACGGGCAGGGCTGGTCCCCGCCAGTTCGTCACCACTGCCGCTTCCCTTAGGGCAGCATTCCAGCCGGTGTCCTTCTGCATCAAAGACCTTGAAGAACATCAAGGAGGCGCCATCGTATTCAAGATGGATCACCAAGGCGCCGTCCACGTGACAGACCCGGGCAATCTCACACCAGCCCCGGGTCATGAAGACCTTGCCTGGAGCGACGACCGCTACCTTCGCTCCGGTTGTAGGGGTGCCACAGTCGGCGTGCTGCAGCCAGAGCTCCAGGGCCCCGCTCGGCGGCATCTCGAAGGCGAAGGAGGGAGGAAGGCGGATCCACGAAGTTGGAGGCATGGCGGCGTGAAGCACAAGCTCGTGAGAGGAGTGCTCCGTGTGG